AGAACTGAGCATGGGATGTCAGTGTGTTTGGACCACTGACATCCCATGCTCAGTTCTATGGGGATGTCAGTGTGTTTGGACCAATACAGGATTTTCGTGCACTATGGCTGCAGCTAACCATTATTTTAGTAATGGAGTATTCTACTGATTATTCCATTGATTAAATTAAGTCATTTTTATCCAAGAGCAATAGTAAATATACACAAGAGAAAATAAGAAATGTGTCTTAAAATGAAAAACTAATTGGTTTCAGAGTTTCCTCTAGGATTTGTTTCAGGAGAGGGGAAAAGCTTCTGTTGTAGCCCCACTGTACTGGTAGTCAAGTATTTTCAAAGTGGGTAATCAGTACTTTTGCTTAAATAAAAGGTCTGATCCTTCCTCCACCCACAGCCTAATTGCACTGTGTGTTACCAGCCGAGCCTTCCCAGGTTTAGTCTATTAAACCTGTTTGTTATGGGAAGTGAGTCTTAAATGAAGGGTGGTTGCGTTATTTGAATCAGCCATAAAGTGTGTTGGAAAAGATCAGTAGTTAGTGAAAGGCTGAACAGCTACAGCAGCTAGTTAGCAGCTACAAGACCCCGAGCTTTTGGGGCTAGATTGGTCTTACAACTGACACTGTACAGAATTTTTGTTTTGTTTCAGCTTGAAAAGATCCCAAACTTTGGACATTTTGTCATTTTCTCTTTACTACTTCACTATGTTCTCTCTCCAAAGGATGTTGTGTGACAGTAATAATTTTTTTTATTTCAATTTTTTGATGGTTGACAAGAGTCGACTGAAATCATAAACAGCAGGCATTATACCCAATTTCTGTTGACAGTAACCACACCAAATCACTGCTGTGTATTTTAGGCTTTAAGTAACATAGCAACAGTTCTTCTGTGGGGTGCTACGGTACCAGTTAACTCTCTGGTTGAAAAGTTCTCACCAGCAGTTAAACTCAGTAAAACAAAATTAGTTGGAGAGTCAAACACGGCTTCTCTCACTGCACCATGAGAGTAGCAGACTCTGCTAAAGTGAATAAATCAATGACACAAAGCAGAAAAGCAAACTCCACCTGTGCATCATCCATTAGTCATACACAACAACACCTTATTGGGCATTACTGCAACTTCTCGAACAACTTTTTATATTAAGGCAAAATTAAACACTGCTGCATCAACCCCTGTCCAAGGCTTCTAATGGACCACAAGGGTGGTATTGATACAGTATTGATCTGACCCATCTACATAAAACATTAAGGCTGCACAATTATAAACTGCAAAATAAAATATGATCCATTAGTCTCAATTTTTTGTGCTTTTTATACTTTTATATTTTATTGCTTGGGTTGCATATCTGTCTTTAATATTGCTGGGTGGAAGGCATACTATTTGTAATTTCTTTTATAAGAAAAAGTTCAAATCAGAGCTCAAAGTCCTACACTGTCCCCCCAATATGTGAGATAATCTGCCAATCTTAATATAGTAAACATACAGTAGACAGTGGGAAACAATCTGATTACTAACCAGCCACAATGAAGCACAGATTTGGAAGTAACTGGGCTACTGAGGGCTCTGATGTTGTGAACCCAAATTCTACCAATGAGATTTTTTCTGAAGTGAATAAATCAACGTAAAAGGCAGATATTATGGGGAAAAAAAATTTCCATCTTACTGCCAACTTCACAGACTCTTCACCAATGCTATTCTGGGCAACAGAACACACCATCTGCTTCATCTATTAGTGACTAAGCAGTTGGTTACACTCAAGTTTATCTGCTAGTGTTACCAATACACAGGATCTGATGTAAGTAGCCCTCATCCTTTTACAGTGGGAAGAATCTACAAATTGGATGAAGGTGGAAAGTGAGTGGTACACTTGGCCAATTATTAGTCACCACCAAGCATTGTAAACACGGCACTGGCGACTGGTAAGTTTCAACTTTGCGATCAGGATGGTGGTAGGGCCAGTGTCGTTAAGTAGCAGACAATTTGCATTAGTGGGCTGAACATTTGTAGCGTGGGTATGTCACCCATATGAAAGTTCATTTTTATCAGACATTAGAACCAGTTCAATATACTGGGCAGGAGGCAGAGCCAATTCTGGTCCACTGAAACCTTCTGGTTTGTTTTTTTCAATGGCTGTGTAGGTTTGTGTATAAAGATGCAATCAGTACAACACTGTTGTATTTGTACCACCACCAAAACCCTTTGAAATAATTCAGCCTTAGCCAGACACAGGCTAACAACCTCTCTCCACCACCAAATAGGAAGCTGCGAACCAGGTACTTAATTTGATTTTGGCCAAAAATACTGTCACACGTAAGATGATCAATTAACAGCATTATAGGTTGGTGTTAAATTCAGTGTGTATCTGATCCATCAACCAGCACTTTTACTGATAAAATCTTTTGAAACAGTCCACCTCTCATCTCCACGGTCTTTTCCTACTGAAAGAGTGCAGTCCAGTTGAGTTTGTACGGAATACAGTTTCGTTCCGGATTATATTTATTATTGCTTAAATTGACAAGACCGTTAATGTATGCCACCATTTAGCTTGCGTTTCTAGAGTGACGCGTTTTTACAGACATGTTAGGATATTTCTTAAAAGGAGTTTGGCACAAGGAGCTTTTAGTTGAATTCAAACTGCTAATATGTATAATTTTGCATGTTTTTGATAAGGGTGTCTGTTAGTTATTAGTTTTATTAATGCTTTAATGGTTTAATGCGTGTGTATTGATTACTGTGGCTCAGAAGCGAAGCGGTCGTCCCCAATCAGAAGGGTGGTTTCGATCCGCTCCCCTGCCACGTGTCAAATACTCCCTTGAGCAAGATAACTGAACCCCAAAATATTTTAATGTGTTCTTTTTGTGGATGTGTATGAATGAGTCTAGTTTGCTGTTCGCATGCACTTTTGCCATCACTGAGTGAATTGTGTGTAAAGGGTGAATGTGGCACGTAGTGTAAAAGCGCGTTTGACGTGTGGTCGGAAGACTAGAAAGGCGCTTACAAGCTACAGGTCCAGATTTACATGGTTACCAAATAAAATTATTGAATTTGAATCTCCTGTGTCAGTAGTGTGTAAACCACATTGACTTCAAGACTGAAAGTTGTGTAGTGTGAACTGGAGGGAGATGTGATGATGATATTGAAACTCATGCAGTGTGTCCAAGGCAAGAGAAGCATTTAGAAAAGGAAAATATATAAAAAGGTGTTTTAACTATATAAATGCCTGAGAGAGTTTTTTATTTTCTTGCAAAAAAATCCTAAAGATTAGCACCATAAGTTTCTTACTTCCAAAGATGGGCGCTGATGTGCTGCTCCAGCATGCTGCTAAGAGCCGACCTCAGGTGGTGAAGTCTCCTGTCAAACGTGTAGATGCCGTGACCCAAAGCATGGCTGCCAAATGAACATACCTAGAGAAAGAATACTTGTTGTAAGTCTGTTATAGGCAAGCGTCTCCTCTTGTTATCTGTACCTGTGGTGGTCAGTGGTGGCTTAGAAACAACATCCTGAATTATTCTGTAGCGACATAGTTGCAGTCAAATCACATTTCAGTGGTTCTGTGTTTTGATGTATTTCTGGGTAGAACAGGATAACAATCTCTGCAGGGAGTGACTTGAAACTGCAAACATAAAACCACCATTCTTTGACATGTGACACAGTTTGAAATTTCCACTGTCCATACCTTCACTATGATATGGGACTAATAAGGAATTACTAAAATTAGGACAAGATCACAAAGACAAGTCTCTGATAGTGCTTTCAGTAGCAGTCAGGTATGGAAAGCTAATCCCCACTTTTTCCTGCTAAGGACGTGCAGCAGGAATAGCGCATTGGTCCACTGAGCAGCATCACTTGCACAAACATGATTTTACGTGATCAGTCCTCACAAGGAAAAGTTACCAGTGATCTTATCACAACAGACAACGTCTTCACTGTGCAACCTAACACTTGTAAGCCTGAGGCTTTTTGGGAACAAAAGTACAGTGTGATGACACAAAATGGGTTTGGAGGAAAAATCACTGAGAAAAAAAAAATGGCAGAGGATCTAGTATGCTTTGTAGTTTTGTTGTTATGATGGATGTTAATATCTACTTTTAAACAATGATATTTTGGAGAAGAATAATGATAAAATATGCCTACAATAGTTCAGACAGTTAATGTGATTTATTGTTTTGCACATCAGGTGGTCTATGGGATAATAATGTTCCTCAGTGTCTGCTTCACTAGCATGTTCTGGTATTTGGGGAAAGCAATTTCTTTCCAACGCATAAGCCGTAACAAGTTCACTGTATAGCAGGGCCATGTTTGAGAGTTTGATTTTGAGACTTTCTGCCCCCTAGAGGTCAGAAAATGCTTATTGCAGCTTTAAACAAGTCTGAAAAAAAAAAAGAAAAAAAGAAAAAGAAAATGTTCTCACTGTTAAACCGAAGTGAAAACTACTCACCGCTAGTGGCTTGGGATGTGCAGCAGAAGAAGAGAACTCAACAGGCTCCTCAGGACCTTCTGCCTCACTTTCATCACTGGAAATTCGTCCATGAACGAGAGGCGAGGGGGCTCGGAGACTTCCTTCATCCTGCCGCTGCTTCTCCTCCTCTGGCGAGCTCTCTGACACAGCCGTAGGCCGACTGTAAAACAAAAAAAATATGCTTGTTGGTTTAAAATATACTGCACCTAGTTATAATATAAAATATACTGATGCTCACTATCCAATTATGTAACCTTTCTGCCTTATAAACAGCTTCACTGAGTTGTCAGAGTAGGAATGACGTGGCACCATTTTTCCTGAGCCCCGTATGCCTGTTCTTGCACTATGTAGCTTTTTGTCCTGGGTCTGAACAATTGCATAACACTTTTCAGCAGTAGTCATACACCACCACCAACTATGTCACTGATTTTGGAAATTGGATCATATTTTATGGAGAAAATGTTTTGTTGTTTTCCCTCTGATGTCCTCCAGCTGCTCTGCCTCAATTCTGTGATGTACAGTTTCCTGATGGACAGTAAAGTAACTTCTGTTAAATGTGTCTGCTGTTCCGTGTAGCCGTACTGTGCTGGACGCCAGGGACTGGATACTCAGAGCACCAGGGCTGTGGCTGTGTTCACACTGGTAGCACCAGAGCTTTGGACCACTGGGAGGAGGATGTTTTCAGGGGACAGGGGAACGCTGGTGGAGAGTGGCGCCAGCATCATGCCAGGAGAGAGTGGTCAAAGTAAATAGGCTCAAAAGGCTTCTACGGACACAGCTAATGGCAGAGGAGGACAGACCTAATGCTTAGAAGACGCTGATGGAGGAAGCTAAGAAGAGAAAAGGTGAAAGAAGCCACCGGACAAGAGTAAATGTGGGCCTGACAGTGGTTGGCGAGAGCTTGGTGAAATAAAAGGCTACAGACATAGAGCAAGCTGGCCTTCTTGCTGTTGGACTAGTCAGAAATATTAGCCGTTTGCTGTGTCTTGTGTTGTTGCTGTTAAAAAAAGTAATTGACTCACTAGTTCATCAAATGTACAGCTGTCAATATTTAACAGTGGTACTGCACTCTGGAGCTGGGTGAGCAAAATAAATTGTTCATAGTGTTGCTTTAACTTGCTCCACATCAACACATCTCATTGCCTTTGCTTGCATTTTTATTTTCCAGTTCCTACTCATTCAGTCAGTGTCAAGTTATTAATTTAATGATGTTTGTATTAGAGAGAGCAAGAGATATACAGAGCACCGGACAATGTGAGTGAGTGTGTGGAAACACAAAGAAGTGAAACTGAAAGTAGCTATATTTGGTGATTATGTAATTCCTTGTAAGTCTGTGGTTTAATAGCGAAGTGACTGGATGTGTGAACCCTTCTTCAGTAGATTTGCAACACACACGCCTGCTGTATGATAGGGAAATCATTTTTACCAAGCTTACTTGTGCTCCTGTCTAGTTTTCACTAACTGACCACACATCAATGCTTCAAGCCAAATTATTTGTTTGATCCACTAAGGTGGTTAAAGAAACAACTGTGAATACTGTGTGTGTGTGTGTGGGCAGAAAAATGTGGCTGCTTGAAAAAATTATGTCTTAAAGCTGCAGTAGGTAATTTGTGTGAAAATAACTGTTAGATTTGCTGAAACTTTCACTATATCCTGACAGTAGTAAATGGTAAATGGACTTTACTTATATAGTGCCTTTCTAGTCTTTCGACCACTCAATGCGCTGTACAGTACAAGCCACAGTCCATTCACACACATTCATACACTGATGGCAGCGGCTGCCATGCAAGGTGCCAACTGCTCATATGAACGGAAACTAACTTTCATACACACTCATACACTGATGCACATACATGAGACAGATCTTTTGTAAAACAATCAGGTTCCTCTGGCTCCTCCTAGCGCTTTGGTTCGGTAGGCTTGAAGATAGTTGATGGTTAAGTCTCAGAGTTGGTATTTGACGATCTGGGAATGAG